ACCATATTTCATGTTTCGGTTAAGGTCAGAATATGTAAATTCGAACTAGTAAATCTCTGTAGGAACGATACTTGGACTCCAAAATTCATTTTATTACTTGAACGATCCGTACACTTGCGATAGTTTTTATTGGAAACATATTTTCGATGAACAATTGTACTAATCAATATATAAAAAATACATTTTATTTAAACTTTCTCTACGTAGCCTTTTTTACTCGAGTTATTAAGTTTGTAAGTGTGTTAAAAGATGTTGCCCTAAAGTCAACTGATTTAGGAGTCATTGGCCTTAAGCATGTTACATAGGTTATTTAAAAAGTTAAAGGGAGAAAATGCTGCAAATGAAAAAAATTATTAAAAAAAAAGAAAATTGAGAAAAATATAGAAAATCAGAAAAAATAAGTGTATGAAACAGAAGACGCACAAAATGCGTTGATTAAGTTTCAAACACTTATTTAGGAAAAATTCAACTTTTCATAAGGGATTATCAGCCTAATTAAGTCTTAGAGATTGAAGTAGTCTAACTTGATTGAGACTTATTGTTTATTGACATGTTGAAGTGCAATTACTAAGATTTACCTAAACTAGATATGTGAGGATAATATAAAATTCAACATTAGATCACACACTAGAAAATAGCCAAAAAAAATTCGGGGGTGTGTAAATCTTACGAATGGGGAGAAGAACATATTTGATTATTGAGGGTCGGGAATGGAACAATTTGTGAATTCATAATACTATGCTTAACTCGTCACAAACAAACATCGACTTTGCATCAGAAAAGTAAATTTTAATTTTTATTGTGAACTTGAAGTTGTGTTTAGACTTAATGTCATTATTTTAATTCTGAGATAAAATGGTGGATTAACTAGTTAAATATTTTTGCATGCTTCTATGTTTATTTTAAATTATGTTATGATTTTGTTTGAGAACAAACAAATATTCAAGTTTTGAGGGTTTGATTACTGTACTTTATACACTTATTCGAGGCTTTAAATAATGACATTTTGTGTTCTTTTAATAAAATATAGCCTAATTTGTAATATATTGTTTTATTTGGTAAAACTCATGATTTGATGAAGAATTGAAAAAAAAAATGCTAACAATAGAGAAGAATGACGAAATTAATACTATGGGGACTAAATTGCAACTTTTCAACAGTTGCATTGGGACATAAAATGAAGAGTGGGGACGTTACAAACTCAATTGGAGGCAATTGGAAGCTAAATGGATGAAATCACAAGTGAAAGGGATAAAAAAATTCATTGCGAAAAGTTCGGGGATCAATTTGCATAATTTGCCCCAAAATGTGAATCTATGCGCGCACACGAGCATGCAAGTCATGCGTATTTGAGATCCCATTATAGCCTAAATTTATTCTACTATGCCACACTCAACTTATACTATGCATACACATAGCTTCTGGTTAGGATTTTTTTTTCCCTTTTTCTTGTTTTGACAAATTTTGGTATGCAATCTTTTGGCACTCTATATATACCATAATCCATCTAGAACGTGGGGAACCTCCCTTACACCTAAAAAATTCACATAGTTCATCTATTTTGGAGGCAAAGAACAAGGTGCAATCATCAACCAAAAGTAAATTATACATGTTTATTGAAAATCCTTAATCCAAAGTCAAGATTCAAGCCAAGAAATTGGATTTCTCTACTTTCTTCATTATTTCTCGATCTGAGTGATATCTTTTCATTATTTCTTGTATATTTTAATAATTAGGATGGTTGGCTAGGTTTTTCAACTGTATTGGATGAATGTTTGAACCATATTTTTATTTATTTCAATTCAAGACTTTAATTTAGGAATTCCGTGTTAATATTTAATTGATTTTACATACACATTGCACTACTTATTGGTTGATCATCAATTAAGTAGTTAATTGCTTGTTGTAGGGTAAGAATACTCACATCGAGTCTAGAACGCATTAAAATCAATATGTGTAGTTAGAATTAGAAATAATCCCTCTCACACATGCAATCTTATTGATAATCAAAACTAAATGCATGACTTTCATATGAATTCGGACTAGGAATAGAATCATCTCGTGTTAATCATATGTTGATATATCCTGGAAAAGAGCATTTAATATATGAGTTTTATCGATTGTAAAACAATGCATGAATTAAATTAAATGATTATTGAGAATTGAAATAGATAGAAATAAAAGGATACATGAATTCAATACAAGCATTCATATTTAATCACTTTTCATCATTTTCTTAGAGTAGGATTAGAATAAATAACAAACAAATCACAACTCGTTTGATGTCACCACACCTCGAATTTAATAGTAGCTATTGAACTGCAAATTAGACCTTATTTCTCGTAGAAATGATACTCTTAACTCACAAATCTTATTACTTGTACAACAATCTCTACGCTTGTGGGGTTTCACGTGAAAAATAAAACATTACTTGCAATAAACATATCCGTGACGGAATTTGCATTGTTTGACTATTGAACCCCTCCGAGGTGCCTTGTGTTTGGAGAAAAAATAGGCTAAACCCTTTAGATTACTTAAGCTGAATAGGTAAGGACAGCTAACGAGTACATCCTAGTGGTGGTCACCGGTCCTAGTGTTTCAACGGCTGTCATCGGAGGTGGTAGAGTCCAACGGTGGTCTTGTCAATCTTTGCAGAGGCTATGGTGGCTTCCATGTCACTCGCAAGAGGATAAGCATCCTCGATGGTAAGGACCGGATGTCGAAGCTTGGCAAAGCCTTCGACTGAACTGTTGACTACGATCGAATGGATTTTTGTGATGGCTTTGGATTTACAATTGCTAATCAATGTACAGGTTGCAACATCAACGATAGAAACACCTACATAGCCTTTTCCAAGGCTCATACTACCTGCAGCTCTATGATTTTCACATGCAACTTGAACTGCAGTTTTAGGATAAGATGCAACTTTTTTCTCAGAAGAGGATTTATAGTTCGTAGCGAAGGATATTAGGGGTCGCATTTGTTCTTTGTCCGATTCCAGACAGTCCTATTACATCCTACTTTTATAAGATTTCGTGCCATCGGTGAACCCATAATTCCAAGACCGAGAAAGCCAATGCGAGCAAGCAAATCATCTTTGGGCGTCGAACATGAAGCTTAAATAGAAAAACACTTGAAGGAAAATAAAGATTCATATGAAAAGGGAAAACAAAAGATCAATCTGCATCTAAATTGGGTGGGTACAGGCGGGCAAAAGCTGGAATACATTGCCATGGCTTTTTAGAACGAGAATTTAGTTTTCTTTGGCAAATTTAGGATTGCAAAAAAGATAAATGATTACGGCAATTGGCATTGACAATTAGGATTTTAGCCATCTCCATCCAGTAGCTCCATTTTCTTTATTATTATCTAGTTCTTCAAATATGATGCAGCCCTTTATTTAGATGTGCTTGAAGCAGCCTTATCTCCTTCGCATTTAGGGCAGAATTATTCAAGATCATTGCAACTACCACAACTATTGCTAAAAGCCACTTCGATGGAAGCCAATAGAAGTTCTAGCATACTACACCTCAGCATTGTTAATAATTTTAGAAAACTACACTTGGATGACAACATCAAGTTCATCATCACGTTCTACTACAAAATTAGCATCGTTGATATGTTTTTATTGATGATTTGACTGGAAAATATTGTATTCCAAATTTAAATTCTGCAAATTGCTGTTGGAGTTGGTGAGTACAGGGTATAACCAAATATCTCACACCATCCAAGCAGCCAAAGTAACCACTAAAATAGGTGTTCATAACATCATATCTGCAGCAATTCCTCCTCCAAGTATTGGGGTTAATGGATTTCATATCGTCCATTAACTTTGGGGGACATAAGGTAATTGCCTCCTTTGAACTAATAAATTCGAGCAACCGATTCCTTAACGCTTTTCAAAAACTGGTGAAGATTGGGCCCTCAAATATTATACTCAAGTGACTCTAATTTTGAGCAAGCCATTTTATCAAATAGGTAATGTGCAACCACAATCCAATCTCCTTTCAGAAATATTATAAGAACAAAATTCATCCATTATCAGAATAAAAAATTGGAGGATGAATTATTGAGTAACATTAGTACAGGGTTATTGAAGTCATTGTACATATTTCCATTCGGTTATATTAGTTGAAGGAATTTGTATATCTATACATTTTGTACTGTCCTTTCACTAATTTCAATTTTGGCTGAATCATTTTTCTTTTCATTGCAATTCATCATGGTATCAGAGAATTGAAGTTTCCTTGCAATGGCGAAGGATTCCGGTGTTCAAGAGGAGGTTCAAAGCCAATTCGATCATGTCAATTCATTTATCGATTCATTAGCTGAAGATGCAGTTGCTGGAGATGTAATTTCTTTGGTTAATCGATTGATGAGTGATCCGAGCAGTCCATACTACCTTCATTATGGTGATAACATGGGGATGCAACTCATCTCTGTTATGCTTACTGAGGATAATTACGAGATGTGGAGTCGTGCATCCACTATGGCATTCAGTGTCAAAAATAAGGAAGGATTCATTGATGGATCTATTGTCAAACCGCCTCATGATGATCCTCTTTACAATGCTTGGAGGAGGTGTAATCATGTGGTTTCTTCTTGGATCATTAATTCTATTCCAAAAGAGTTTTATCCAAGTGTGATGCATAAGGATTCTGCAAGAGAAATCTGGATCGAGCTTCAGGATCGTTATAGTCAAGGTAATGATCCTCGCATCTTTGAATTGAAAAAGCAAATAGCTTCGATTTCACAAGCAAACAGTCCGGTTAGCTCTTAATTAAATCGATTCAAAGGGCTTTGGGAAGAATTGGACAATTACAGGCTAATTGTTAACAATACTAATTACAAATGTGAAGATCAAATCATGCAATTTCTCATGTTAGATGATCATTTTTCTGGTGTTAGAGGTCAGATTTTGTTAATGGACCTATTGCCTTCACTGAATAAAGTTTTTGCATTAATTCTGCAAGATGAGAAGTGGAAAGAGGTGGTTGCCAAAAGACAACAGAGCTTTGATGTAACAACTTTTGCTAGCAGAATGATGCATAAATCCTTTGGGAATCAAAGGTCTGTTTTATTCGATCAGTCTCAGATAAAGGAAAGAACTCTATGTAGTCACTATGGCATGCTTGGACATCTTAAAAGTAAGAGTTACAAGTTGATAAGTTATCCTCCTGGTCACAGGTTTCGTAAAGGGAAAACTCCAGTTGCAAATGATGTTGGATAGGCGTCTCATGGTCACAATTCAGAGATCCTAAACTCTCTATCACATCTCAACATCACTCCAAGCCAATGTCAACAAATTTTATCTGTGTTGGTGCTACAGTTGCAAGGACATCTTTCAAATTGCAAGCAGCAGCCTCAAGATGTACCATCTTCATCACCTTCAGTACATGATGTTTTTCGCGTTCTCGGGTAATCGTATATGTTCCACTTTTGTAGACAAATGGATCATAGATACATGGGCTTCAAAATACATGGTTTACTCCATTAAACATTTGACCACTGTGACCTCAGTTATTAGTGCATCTGTAAGGCTACCTAATGGTGATAATGTTGCGGTAACACATGTTGGCGCAGTGAAGTTATCTGCGACATTAATTTTGACTAATGTGCTAGTAGTGCCATGTTTCAAGTTCAATTTTATTTCTGCCAGCAACTTAATACTTAAGCATAATTGTTACCTGATATTCTTACGTCACTCTTGCTTCATTCAGGATCTTTCAACATGGAAGACGATTGGGGTAAGCAGACTTGAGGATAGACTGTATCACCTCCTTCACACCAATCTCATCAACTCAATACGCCAATCAAAACACTTTCTGATATATCTCACATTAGTAATTCTGTTGTTTCTTCCCATATTAGTTCAATTCCTGCTTTTTGTTTGAAATGTAATAAATTATATTATACGTGTAATTCCATTAGCAGTACTGTTATTAATTCTAATATTGATGTGTGGCATTGTCGTTTAGGACATGTTTCTATTTCTAAACTATTGCTTTTACATCAATCTATACATACTATTACTATCAATAGACACCTGCATTGTACTATTTACCCTTTAGCCAAGCAACACAGGTTGCCTTTTCCAAGAAGCGAAACAAAGGCTTCCAAAATGTTTGATCTTATTCATTGTGATATTTGGGGACTGTATTCTATTCATTTCTTAGATGGTTCTAAGTATTTCTTGACTATCATTGATGATTATAGCCATATGACCTGGACATATCTCATGCGAGATAAATCACAAGCTAGATCCCTTATTCAATCATTCTATTATCTCATACAAACACATTTTCAGTGCAATATCAAAATCGTCAGATCTGATAATGGCTTAGAATTTCACATGAATGATTTTTATCTTTCCAAGGGAATCATGCATCAGTTGAGATCTGTTGAAACACCACAACAAAATGGTGTGGTTGAAAGAAAATATCAGCACATACTCAACATTGCAAGAGCCATCAAATTTCAAGCTAACGTACCTCATCAATTTTGGGGAGATTGCATCTTAACTGCTATACATATTATCAATTGAACACCTACTCAAGTTCTTGCAGACAAATCTCCTTATGAAATGCTCTATCAAACCACACCATCTTATACTCATCTAAGGATCTTTGGCTGTCTTTGTTATGTGATAAGTGTATTTTTGCAAACTTATTTAATACATAAATATACTTATTATTGATAAAAATGAGAGAATGTCTACTAGCAATTATGTAATAATTGCTTTTATATGTAATTCTACTCACAATTACGTAATTATTACTTTTGTAGGTAAAAATCACCCAAGGAAAAAAAACAAAGCAAAAATGAGGAGAAAATGACCAAATTTGTGCAAAATTATGAATGTGGGGACCAAAATGAACAAGTCTAGCAAGTTGAAAGAACTTGGATGCAATTTACGAAGGGCGTAAATGAAAGAAAAATCAAAATATGAGGACCAAATTGTATAAGATAAAAGTTGATGGGGTCTGCCGTGCCTAGGGGATTTGGCTGCAAAATTAAACCAAATTCAAGTTTCTGGCTCCATTTCAAAGCTCGGGGGCCATTTTGTTAGCTTTTCAAAGTTCAGATGCTTGAGCTACAATTTTTGAAAATGAACTTTAAAACCTAAACAAACTTCTGTTGCTGGCTGAGCAGCTTCTTCTTCTTCAATTCCACTTTTTTCTTTTCGTTTTTTCTTTTTCTTTTTCTTTTCTTTTCTTTTCTTTTCATTTTCTTCTTCTTTTGATTTACTTGTAATTTTGGAGGGGAAATCAAGAGTACAAATGCTTGATTGTGTTTTAGATAATCTTGCTCGGGACGAGTAAGAGTTTAAGTTTGGGGGTATTTGATAAGTGTGTTTTTGCACACTTATTTAAAACTTAAATATACTTATTATTGATAAAAATGAGCGAATTTCTACTCACAATTATGTAATTATTGCTTTTGTAGGTAAAAATCACCCAAGGAAAAAAAAAACAAAGCAAAAATGAGGAGAAAATGACCAAATTTGTGCAAAATTATGAATGTGGGGACCAAAATGAACAAGTCTAGAAAGTTGAAAGAACTTGGATGCAATATACGAAGGCCGTAAATGAAAGAAAAATCAAAATATGAGGACCAAATAGTATAAGATAAAAGTTGATGGGGCCTGTCGTGCCTAGGGGATTTGGCTGTAAAATTAAACCAAATTCAACTTTCTGGCTCCATTTCAAAGCTCGGGGGGCCATTTTGTTAGCTTTTCAAATTTCAGGTGCTTGAACTACAATTTTTGGAAATGAATTTTAAAACCTAAACAAACTTCTGTTGCTGGCTGAGCAGCTTCTTCTTCTTCAATTCCACTTTTTTCTTTTTGTTTTTTCTTTTTCTTTTTCTTTTTCTTTTCTTTTCTTTTCTTTTCATTTTCTTCTTCTTTTGATTTACTTGTAATTTTGGAGGGGAAATCAAGAGTACAAGGAGAATATATCTAAGGATTTGGAGAAATAT